GTGTTTACAGACACAAAGACACAAACCTCATGTAAACTGTCAGAATGCAGAGGGTCTTCTTACCCTTTACTTTCTCAACATCACGTCACATTTAAGGACAGATGTTCCTCCTCGTGTGAAAGCCGGGGGGTTCATCAGATCAGGGTGGCTTAGTGGAAACATCCTCCAGCTGATTGACCCGCTTTCCAGATCCTTGTTTTCCGAGCTTTTCCTTCACTGCACAGTAAAACTATGAAACAGACAGAACTATGTTCACAATGTGAAGTAAAGAGAGGAGAAGAACATCCTGGAGAACAGGAAACATGCAGCAGCAGGTTGATTAGAGCACGGAGATGGTAGAGGTGGCGTGCAGACAGTCTATGGTCGTGCAGCGATCACAGGGAATAAAGGTCACCACCCCCTCCCACTGGCCCCTCCCACTGGCCCCTCCCACTGGCTCCAGGTGAATTCTCCTGATTATATCCTGCTGTGTTCTCACATCAGCTCACTCTGACTTTCTGCAGAATAAATACAAGGAGGCTGGAGGAGAAACTCAGAGTGAAGAGAGAAACATTCAGATGTTTGTGATCACGTGACGCTCAGACTGTGGAAACATCACTAAATGTTTTTTCTTTGCAGTTCAGAAGTTTTGCTCTCAGATGAGCGTCTTGTTTGGAGCGAAGGAAACATCGACTGTTTGATGTTGAAATAAAAACCTGTCACTCATTTCATCGTTGTCCTCTCTCTCTCTTCAGTCCTAGAGATCGATTTCTCCGAGCTGACCCTGGAGGAGATCATCGGCGTGGGCGGGTTTGGAAAAGTCTACCGTGCGGTGTGGCGGGGCTTCGAGGTGGCGGTGAAGGCGGCGCGGCGGGACCCAGATGAAGACCCCGAGCAGACTCTGGAGAGCGTGCGTCAGGAGGCCAAACTGTTCGCCATGCTCAACCACCCCAACATCATGGCCCTGCTGGGGGTGTGTCTGCTGGAGCCCAACCTGTGCCTGGTCATGGAGTTCGCCCGGGGTGGGGCCCTCAACCGCGCCCTCGCTGGGAAACGCATCCCGCCGTGCACGCTGGTGGACTGGGCCGTGCAGATCGCCCGCGGGATGCTCTACCTCCACAGCCAGGCCATCGTCCCCATCATCCACCGAGACCTCAAGTCCAGCAACAGTAAGACCTCCTCCCCGACCCCCCTGCATGTTTCTGTGTGAATTAAAACAACGACCACAGGGGGCGCCATGCCCTCGCTCCGGTTGGCAACGATCCATCTCACCATGTAGGAGCGGTGTTTGGACGTCAACAGAAAACAAATTTAACAGAATTTAAAGTTTTTTCAGTCATTAATTTTCAAATTAATGTCTGCATTAAAAATATATAAAAAAGAACGTTGCTACTGAACAGATTAATGGACGTGTTTAGATTCAGATTCATGTGTGAAACTAAAATATAAATCCTCACATTTCAGAGGCTGAAACAAAATAAAATCCTACATTTTGCTTAAAAGTTAAATTATTTTTCTGTGTCCTATGGGCCGGATAAAAAGATAAACAGATAAAATAAATAAATGAGACAAATACACTTCCTACACTGCAAATGTTTACAGGGATTAAAAACAGTAAAGTTCATAAAGCAGAAATGTCTGGTGTTGAAAAATGAAGCCGATGCTGAAGTGTAACATCCTGCAGTTCCTGGAGTGTCCACTAGAGGCTGGCTGCAGAAGCACAGGAAGTCACATACACACCCATTCTAAAAAGCCTGTTTTTACAGCAGAGATGAACATGTTTACAGCCTGGTTCAAAAAACCAAATAGGTGTGATTAGCTCATGTCTGGATGGACACACACTGTACGGGGGGTGAATGTTTTGATGACTCATCAGTTTTGATTTGATGAAGGATAAGAGTTATTCACAATAAGGCGTGTAGCTGACCTGATTGACAGGTGGGCGCGGTGTAACGGTTTGTCAGGAGGTTTAAAACCCGCCCCAGCTCCAGCTCTCAGCCTGTCGTTAGGTTGACTGAAAGTTAGACTGAAACAGCATTTCCAGCATGGAGACCGCCATCGATGGGACTCCAGCGCCCCCTGCAGGAACAGACGGGGGACGCCATCGATGGGACTGCAGCGCCCCCTGCAGGAACAGACGGGGGACGCCATCGATGGGACTCCAGCGCCCCCTGCAGGAACAGACGGGGGACGCCATCGATGGGACTCCAGCGCCCCCTGCAGGAACACACGGGGGCGCCATCGATGGGACTCCAGCGCCCCCTGCAGGAACACACGGGGGACGCCATCGATGGGACTCCAGCGCCCCCTGCAGGAACACACGGGGGACGCCATCGATGGGACTCCAGCGCCCCCTGCAGGAACACACGGGGGACAACACTCAGACTTTGTTGGTTAATATTTACATTAGGAATGCAGTGATTGGATAAATCAGGACCGATACTGATGTTTGTGTCACTGCTTACAGTCTCCTACAAGGTGACATTTTCTCAGTTTGTCAAACAGCTGATTTCTTCTGCCCAATGAAAAACCTCTTCTCTGACTCAGCAGGTCAGGTGGGCTGGATGTCCCCATTAAACTGATAAGACACAACAGATCAACCTTCGCAGATCACATCAGCTCTTATCACATTGTTATTATCACAGATCTAAGATCAACAGATGAGAAGGCCATCTGAACAGGTGAGAGGGGCGGAGTCTATACACTGAACGAAGACCGCTCTCAAATCAAACCAAATGTTCAGTGTTGTTATTGACGTGTGTGTGTGTGTGTGTGTGTGTGTGTGTGTGTGTGTGTGTGTGTGTGTGTGTGTGTGTGTGTGTGTGTGTGTGTGTGTGTGTGTGTGTGTGTGTGTGTGTGTGTGTGTGTGTGTGTGTGTGTGTGTGTGTGTGTGTGTGTGTGTGTGTGTGTGTGTGTGTGTGTGTGTGTGTGTGTGTGTGTGTGTGTGTGTGTGTGTGTGTGTGTGTGTGTGTGTGTGTGTGTGTGTGTGTGTGTGTGTGTGTGTGTGTGTGTGTGTGTGTGTGTGTGTGTGTGTGTGTGTGTGTGTGTGTGTGTGTGTGTGTGTGTGTGTGTGTGTGTGTGTGTGTGTGTGTGTGTGTGTGTTACATTTCACCTGACTGGATCCCCTAAATCCCAAGCCTATTACTGAGGATTTAGCGTGCGCCCTGCCCCCTAGCGCCCTATTGGACGCTCCCTCAGCACAACACAGCCAGCCTCTGCCTGTCATTGGCTCACTGTGTGGCGATCGGCTCAGGAGCGTCATGTCCTATAGGCCGCTTTCAAGAGTTAAGTGTGTCCCACTAAAGTGTCTCTAGCCCCCCCCCCCCCCCGGGACGGGACGGGAGGACTGTCACCACGATTTACAACTTAATCTAGACACCATTAAATGTAAACAAACCTGAGGAGCTGGTGTAAGGTCAGAGGTCAGTTAGTGATCACTCTCTGGTGTTCATTCATGAAGTCTAAAGTCGTGCAGCCTCCAATCTGAAGGAACATCAAAGTAACTTTAACACCAAAAGCCGTCTTCTCTTCATCTCTCTCTGCATGGCGCCCGCGTGCCTCCTGTGTTTTCTCAACTTGTACTTTTATTGGTTGATTTGTTTGCAGCCTGATTTCTGGCAGATAACTCATAACTTAAGAGCAATTACAAAAAACATCTCTTGATCTCATTTCGACTCTCAGCGATGTAAAAACAGGGACCAGGTTTTTTTAAAAAAAATCAGGACTTTCAGAAGTCTCCTGTTGCATGTTCAGCAGCTTCTTCTTTTTTTTTTTTGCCCCCACCCTTAATTTATTCTCTCTTTTCAGTCCCTTACTACTTTTTTTAATATATACTTTTATTGCAATACATTAATGTTTCCAATCATTGTACTTACACATATTTACAACATGTTTTCATATTTTTAACACCAAGTGGTGAAAACGAAACAAAACATAGAAATATATACACACAGTATGCAGATTCAAAATGCATATAACAGAGGCAGCATCCAGAGCGAGCTTTGTGCCTCCTCTTTACAAACATATAGATCGTCAGGTTAAACATACTGTTAAAGAAATAAAAAAAAAAGTAGAAAAGGATTAAATGCGGGTTCTTCTTGTGGCGTCTAAACCACTTCATGAGAAGCTCGTGTCTAATCGTTGGTTACAGAACTTCAGAAGGTGCTCGGGACGTTTTTTAAAGACGTGGTCGACTGAGACTCCGCCCAGTGACGCAGTGCTGAGGTAAAGAAGTGGAACGATGACGAAGCTGACGCCAAAAACATGTTTCCAACGACTCCCCAACAGAGACGGGAACACCTCAAAGTCTTTTTACACTCGACTGAAATATCCAAACTGAAGCCTGAGTGTTCAAGTGGAGCAGGAGTTTGTGTTTCTTAAAAACCCGGATTAAAAAAACAAACTCATCCAGCGTCTAAAATCTAAACGTTTAATCCACTTCATTAAGACTCATGTGCAGGTGTGTTTCCTGCAGCTTTAAGGGTCTGAAACATTAAAGCCACACATGCAGCAGATGTAAAGGGGGGGGTGGGGGGGTGCACCGCAGCCTGCAGACACGCCCTCTGCGCTGGGCACAGCCGCAGCAGCTGGGCCGGCGTGGTGGTTTAGGAGGAGCGGCGTCTGAAGAGACTATTTCTGGAGTTTCTCTTTGCTTCTCATGTTTGTTTGAGATGTTTTGAATTTATTCAGATTGTAGTTTCTGTTTCTCAGCTTCTCTGTTTCTTCTCTTCTTCTCTCCTTCATCTTCATCCCCGTTTTCTTCGTCCACCATGTGTCTCATTTTTTTTGCGTTTCCACATTTATTCAAATCCTCCTCCTCCTCCTCCCACCGCCCCTCCAAACATCACAACCCCGTCGACGGTCGACATGAAACCCGGTCACCCTGCCTGCCTATCTGCACGCATTCCCTCCCCCCCCCCCCCATCCTGCAACCCAAAAACCCCCCTCATCAACTCCCAGTCCTGATCCTGGAGCGGGTGGAGATGGAAGACCTGAGCCACAAGACCCTGAAGATCACAGACTTTGGATTGGCGCGGGAGTGGCATCGCACCACCAAGATGAGCGCCGCTGGCACCTACGCCTGGATGGCGCCCGAAGTCATCCGCTCGTCCACGTTCTCCAAGGGGAGCGACATTTGGAGGTGGGCAGAGGAGGAGTTGAAGGGATCTTGGTGTTCATGTGTTACTTTTAATGACAGCTGTCCTGTTCTACTTCTTCCCCTGATTTCTGACTCTATCCACTCTCCTATCTCTACAATAAAGCCACAAAAAATAAAAATACATTTTTTTTTTTTTTTTTTTTAACTTGACCTTCAAAGGGGGGGGGGGGCGCCCCCCTAATATAATGGTAGGGGAAACACTGGTACATTGACTTGAGGATATTAAATCCTGAGAAGTTAGGGAGTCTCATTTTTTGAACGTGTATTTCTAATAAGTTAAAGTTTCATTCAGCGTTGTGTTTTTCTTAAACGTTCCAGCTATGGCGTGCTGCTGTGGGAGCTGCTGACAGGAGAAGTTCCGTTTCGGGGAATCGACAGCCTCGCCGTGGCCTACGGGGTCGCCATGAACAAGCTGGCTCTGCCTGTCCCCTCTACCTGTCCTGAACCTTTTGCACGCCTGATGGAGGGTAAGAGGAGCGACAGATGATGTGTCAGAGAGATACCCCTGAACATGAATAATTAATAATCAATCGAGTACAGTACAGATCACCACGTGTGAGTGCGTCCTAACTGTATGTTTTTTTAGAGTGCTGGAGCTCGGACCCTCACTCCCGGCCTCAGTTCACAGCGATCCTGGACCAGCTGACGTCCATCGAGGAGTCAGGCTTCTTTGAGATGCCAGCAGAGTCTTTCCACTCGCTGCAGGACGACTGGAAGCTGGAGATCCAGGAAATGTTCGACCAGCTGAGGACCAAGGAGAAGGTACAGATGAGACGCCGTTTTTTTAGTTTAGTTTAATCGTTTATTTGAATCAGGGACAAAAAAACCCATTAGTCTCAGAAGAGATGCTTTGTACCAGATTTAGCTAGCTAGCTACTTTCCATCTGTTGTCCCTGGGCAGATGATGGCAACAACCTGGGCCCGCAGTCAACATGGATTTGGTTCTGAAGGACTCATAGGTACTTACTGACTGACTCAGATGGTTATTATCAGCCCGATCACCTCGCTGAAGGTCGGGGGAGCTCCGTCTACTCGAGAGAGCCTCTGCTGCAAACTCGTCTTTAAAGTCTTTCAAATGTAGAAATCAAGTCTCTCCTCTGAAAATAACTCTGTGAGTCATGACTGTCTACAATGGGTGTAACACCCGAGTCCCACTGTCTGTGATGTTTTCAGAGTTTTCAGAGTCCTATCTTCACTTTGTTTACATCGCCCGGACGGCCGGCTGACTTCTCCCCTCGTGTATAAAAGTTGTTTAATTGAGGGACTAGAGAAAAGAAGAATAACATACTGTACTCACTGCTTAACTGTGTTTCTAGATCACGCTCATTTCAGGTAAATTTACATGCAGTGTGAAGATACCAGCAGAATAAAGATCGCTAGCATTAGCATGCTAACACAACAATGCAGCGTGAGTTGTTTTGGTTTCATGCTGGTGCTCAAGGGCGACATCTGCTGGATCAAAAAATCACATACAAAGAGTTTAAGCAGCAAAAATATACATAAAAAGGATCCAGATCAAATGTCTTAAGAGATATAAACGATGGATCTGTCGGTACTCTTCAGCCTCTGCTCTCATAACATTCTTATGTTTTGAAGGTAAAGATCGAGGGTTCAATGTCGATGATTCACGGGCTTCATGTAATTTCATCCTTCAGGAGCTGCGCTCGTGGGAGGAGGAGCTGACCCAAGCGGCGCTGCAGCAGAAGTGCCAGGAGGAGGCGCTGAGGAGGCGTGAGCAGGAGCTGGCCGAGCGGGAGATCCACATCCTGGAGCGAGAGCTCAACATCATCATCCACCAGCTGTACCAGGAGAAGCCTCACGTGGAGAGCAGGCAGGGCAAGTTCCGCCGCAACCGCCTTAAACTGAAGGACGGGAACAGGATCAGCCTGCCCTCAGGTACGGCAACGAGACGCCATGACACTGCGTATGTCAGACAGTCTGCACACGAGATCAGGCCGAGTCAGAGCAGAGTCAGGCTGTGGAGCTAGAAGACGTTTAACTGCAGGCCAGAGAGGCGGTTCTTGTTGTCTGTTGTGGATGTTTGGTCGGGTTTTGATGCTGCTGTCATGGTCGCCTACGATGCAGTAACAAGTTCTAAATCAATTCATAAACATTGGTTTTGATCAGGTGTTATATTTAGCTTAGCAGTACTGTCATTGTTTACTCTCTAGCTGCTTTCAAACCTCCTGATATTCTCAGTCTGAGCGTCATGTGATCACAAACATCTGAATGTTTCTCCTCCAGCCTCCTCGTATTTATTCTGCAGAAAGTCAGAGTGAGCTGATGTGAGAACACAGCAGGATATAATCAGGAGAATTCACCTGGAGCCAGTGGGAGGGGCCAGTGGGAGGGGGTGGTGACCTTTATTCACCTGTGATGGCTGCACGACCATAGACTGTCTGCACGCCACCTCTACCATCTCTGTGCTCTAATCAACCTGCTGCTGCATGTTTCCTGTTCTCCAGGATGTTCTTCTCCTCTCTTTACTTCACATTGAGATTCATTGATACAAACACACATATACGCTCTGCCAATGAAAGGCGTCTGATCCAACCTTCACAACAGGGTCCTAAGTCTCTGACTAGACTCTTCTCCTCTGTCGCCCCCCCGGTGGTGGAATGAACTTCCAAACTCCATGTGATCTGCAGAGTCCCTCTGCACCTTTAAGAAAAAGCTAAAGACCCAGCTCTTTCATGAATACCTACTAACTTAATGATGATGGTCTCCATATTATTGATGATGATGATGGTAATGACGATGGTTTTTGTTTGATAACGACGACTTATAAGATGGTTTCTATACTGATTAGAGCTCTCAAGAACTGCCCTCAATGTTGTGCTTTGCCTCTGGTCACTTCCTGTCAGCACCTGTGTGTCCAATCAGACTCAAAGCTGATCGTTTGCTCTTACTCACATTGTTCTCTTTTTTCTAGATCCTTGCTTGTGTTGTTCTTACTCTCTGATGTACGTCGCTTTGGAGAAAAGAGTCTGATAAGTGAATTGTAGAAATATTCTCATTGTAGAGACGTGTAGAGGACTCTGCTGCTGCGTCCGGCATTTACGCGTCATTATAGCCCTATGAGGACCCCCCCCCTCCCCCCCCCCACCTCCTGTCTGACAGAGAGTCTCCTGCTGTGAGGTGCAAGTTCAGATGTTGTTGCTTTGTCACCTAAAGTGTCTTTTATCTGTTCAGTGTTTATGTTTCTTATTTTTCAACCGCTGGTTTATTTGAATTCCTGATTTTAGATTTTCAGCACAAAATCACGGTGCAGGCGTCTCCCTCTCACGATCGGAGGCGGAGTCTGCTCAGCAGTAGTTCCAGTCCGCCGTCCAGCCCGGCCATGCTGCCCCGCCTCCGAGCCATCCAGCGTAAGCCCCCGTCAGAGACTTGAGTTCACCTGGTGTCCGAGCTGCTGTATGACGTCTGTTCTCATCCTGTGTGTTCTGGTCCTGTTTGCAGTCACTCCGGGTGAGGGCTGCACGGCGTGGGGTCGCAGCGGTGCGAGCATCCTGCAGGATGACGAGGAGGCCGAGAGGAAGGGGTCCAGGAAGAAGGGCAGGACTCGGGGGGGGCGGCCCGTACAGAGAGCACAGCGCTGATGCAAGGTGAGGGCACAAGAACATGGAGCGAGACACCTGAGCCCTTCCAGAGAAGGGGCGTGGTCAGACACAGCTCATTTACATATTTAAAGGTACAGACACAGAAACAGCCTGTTCTGAGCAGGGCTGAAATAGAGGGGTTTATAGACATGATCAAATACAGGATCAGAGTGGATTTAGAACAAGAAACTTCACACACATGTTTTGAGGAGCTCTGACACTTATTTAAATTGGATGAAGAGGAGGAGGAGATGTCACCTTTAACGGTGAGTTGACACAAAGTCTGTGAAACACCCTCTGAGCCTGTTTCTGACTCTGTCTCTCCGTCCTTCCTGACAGTGTGAAGCCTCCCCACGAGGGCAGCAGGCAGCGCTCCTGCAGCGCCCCAAACCTCCGCAGGTCTCCCAGACACAGTCCAGCCGTGCCTGGGGTGCCAAGCCTCATGGAGATGGGTAAGAAGAGACCAGCTGATTTAAAGTCCACTTCATGCAGCATGCAGTGAACAGCTGAAGTTATTCTTCAGACGCAGACTGGAAACAGAGAAGGAGAGGATCCTGCTTCCTGCTTTTTATTTATTTTTTTATTATTTTTTTTTTTATTGACATTTTTATGACATCACAATACAAACAAGAGTGAAAACCCACAACCCAATCCATGGACATAACCCCCCCCCCCCAGAACACACAAACACACACTCACAACCAGAGTGGAGGTACACATTACAAATAGTTCATCTAAACTCTGTGCTGTCAGGGTAAGTCCAAATCTTGCAAGAAGGGACCCCAAGATTCTTTCCATTTATGTTTACATTTTGAATCATGTGTATCACTGAGACCAGTTTCTGAGGCGCGGTGGAGTTGGTGTCTTCTAGTCCTCAAAAGATCTGTTTGGGTATCTGCTTCAGATGCTTTTAAAGAAACTAAAATGTACTCTGACATGAGCGTTCCTGTTTTTAGAAAATGAAGACTGCTGCTTCAGCACGGAGCCGGGAGCCGCCCCTGGTCAGACCTACCTCTGCCTCCCCTTCCAGAAGGACTCCCACCCTGCTGCTGCTGCTGCTGCTGACGCCGATGGAGAAGAGTACAGCCCCGGGGGTCAGGTCCCAGGTACCCCGCCCTGCAGGAAGAGCCCGGGCGGGGGCCGGCGGTCTGAGCTGGTCCTGCTGGGCTGTGGCGCTCTGCTGGCCGCCGTGGGACTCGGCTGTAACCCGCTCGCCGCGGCCCAGCCGGAGGAGAGCGTCAAATCCCGATGGGAGAGTTTCTTCCACCGAGGGGGGGGCCAGAGGCGGAGCACCAGCCCTCAGACTCGCAGACTGTTCCGGCGGGAGAGCCCGCTGAAGCCCCCGGCGCCCTCGCTGCCCTCCTCCTACACGCTGCTGTCCTTATCCTCCGTGTCCGACTGCAACTCCACGCGCTCGCTGATCCGCTCGGACAGCGAGGAGCTGGTGGTGTACCGCCCGGCCTCGACGCCTGTGACTCAAACGCCGGTCAACCCGCTGGTCAACACCCACCTGGAGAGCTTCAAGAGGAACCCGCGTCAGTCCCTCACGCCCACCCACGTTCCCTCCGCCCCCCCGAGCTCCTCGCGCGGCCTGAGACGAACGCCGTCAGACGGAGCAATCAAGAAGAGCTGCCTCGCCAACAACCTGGAACCTTTACCTGAGAAGATGGCGTTGGAGAACACGGGTAAAGTTCATCCTGATCTCACAGATTTCACATGAAAATATAGAAAACAGTGTGATGATGTATTAACCTCCAAACGGACAGATAGAGAGCGACCACCGTCTGCGTGACGTTCAGTCATTCTGTCTCTTCAGTAAAAGTTACATTTTCCACTCTTAACTTGGGACCCCTTGTTTCCCCCATACGGACCTCTGGCAGTCCCCAGACCCCCCTTTGAGAACCCTTCTGATAGACTTAAAGTCTTTAATATGTGATTTTTCACCCTTAAATGTAGAAATCAAGTATCTCCTCTGAAAGTAACTCTGTGAGTCATGACTGTCTACAATGGGTGTAACACCCGAGTCCCACTGTCTGTGATGTTTTCAGAGTTTTCAGAGTCCTATCTTCACTTTGTTTACATCGCCCGGACGGCCGGCTGACTCCTCCCCTCGTGTATAAAAGTTGTTTAATTGAGGGACTAGAGAAAAGAAGAATAACATACTGTACTCACTGCTTAACTGTGTTTCTAGATCACGCTCATTTCAGGTAAATTTACATGCAGTGTGAAGATACCAGCATAATAAAGATCGCTAGCATTAGCATGCTAACACAACAATGCAGCGCGAGTTGTTTTGGTTTCATGCTGGATCTCAAGGGCGACATCTGCTGGATCAAAACATCACATATAAAGAGTTTAAGAGAAATGACAGACTGGTGACTTTGAAATGAGATTTAAAATCCAAAAGAGAGAAGAGGCTCTCTCAGATCCGTTCATTTTCTCTTCATCCCCCCCCCGCGCCCCCGCTCCCCCCATGTTGAACTTCCTGTCTGTCTCCCCCTCCAGGTGTCTTCAGAGGTTTCAGAGAGGACTGTCGTGAAGTCCCCCGCCTCCCCGATCCAAACATCGTGTTCCCTCCGACTCCTCGCCGTCGCTGTGCTCCTGAACGCCCTAAAACCCTCGACTTTGTGGCCCGGCCTCGGCCCTCCCCACGGGCGCTCTGTGACGTGTTCTGGGGGGAGGCGAGGCCACGAGGAAACGGATTAAACCCGGGTAACGGCGATTCCCCCGCCCACACGTCCAGCACAGAGACGCCTCCGACCGTGGAGTTTGGCGGTGACCCCGCGGCGCTGCGTACCCCGATGGAGGCCCCGACGCCCTACTCCCCCCGCAAGAAGGAAAACCTGTTGGATCAGTCAGACGAGGGTCAGTGTCGGGATGGGACGGTCCCGCTCAGCTTCCCCAAAGACTCGCCGTACCGCTACAGACCGGGATTCTGGTCCTGACTCGGCGCCCGAGTGAGATCCGGCGCCGCAGATCAGACGGTAACGAGGTCGGTTCATCGTCGCTTAAACACAGGAAGTCATCGTCCCAGAACGTTTCCACCTCCTGACATTTGCTGCATTACTTTTCATGATTTTAAAACTTGGTGTCTGAATCTCCAGAAACAAACCATGCAAAGTGTGTTTGACCCGCGTGGTCGTCACGGCAACAGAATCACCTTTTTCTTTCTCATCTTTGAAGACGCTTCTTTGGCGAGGAACAGATGAACAGCGTTACGTTTTTCTTTTTTTATAATTTTTAAGCTGGAGACGTGCGTTTGATGAAAGTGCACTCTGAGAAAGCGTCCTGAATGTAAAGCTGCTCTGATTGTTTATCTTTACGACCCGCCCTCCTCTGCTCGTGGTCGATGGCATTTCTTACTTCCTATCACCACGATCACCTGCATCGCCGAGTCGTGTCCCGGGACGGGGATGTAAACTCTGAGCGATGTCATCTGGAGGTGTGTGTGGTGACCAGCTAGGAGACGGACGCCACTGCTGCTGACAGGAAGTCACAAACACGACCATGAAAGGCTTCATTATCTCTCTTTTTAAACTCCGGCCTTATTTATATTTTTGATTTCTTTACATATTTTGGGTCTTAATGACGATCCAGCGGTTCAGACTCTCTCTGATAAACCAGCAGCTGTGAAACACGCCGTGACTGCAGCCGAACACTACGGCGCCCTTTCCAATTCCTCTGGAATTCAATGGAGTCTATTTTCAAAGGAGCCCACTGCAGGCATGCGTCAAGAAGGACAGAATAAATTGACCCAGACAGGAAGTCAGAACGTCCGGTCACCTTCAAAATAAAACACAATCTGCAGGTCGTATATTTCATCACTTTATCGACATGACATCAAAACAGGCAGCGTTGACGGCGCTCTGATCACACTCCAGAAACAGACGCAGCGATGCATCGTCTGACGGAGTGAAACGCGGCGCTGACGGAGAACAGTGAGCACGGCCGCAGCGTCATTTAGACCCAGAATATGAAAACATAAAAACTGTCCCCGGTTTGTTCAAGCTGCTCGTTCTGATCTCAAACTGTGAGCGTGCTCAGTGAGGGCAAGGTGACGCAGGCCCTGGTGGCGTGCGTCTGAAGGTTCACTCTTTTCTTATTCATATTTATTTTAAGTTATTTAATTTATGTGATGCTTTATTTTTTTATAACTCAACGTCTTTGCCTTGATTTTCTGACTCTGTTGTCTCTGAATGTTTGACCGTTGTTGCAGCTCACTTCACATTTTATTGATTTAAAATCATCTTTGAGGGTTTTCACATCTGAACTCCTGATCATATCTCGATCACTTCAGGAGGACTTCAGGATATTCTCCTGCCCTGTTTGTTCACACATTTCTTATCTGTAATTTACCCATGTTTGTTTGGACTCTACATGTGTTAAATGTTTATTTTTTTTCATTTAAAGGTCTCATGTGATGCTGAATCCTCTTCCCCATGTTCCTCTAACTCTAACATGTGTCTCTAGTCCGTCTACAAACCCCCCAATGATGAGAAAAGTCCATCCTCTCCGTCTTCTACCTGCTCCACTTTTCAGAAAATGTGTGCTCAAACAGGCCGTTTGGAGATGTTCCCTTCATGACATCACAAAGGGCAGTAGCCCCTCCCCCAGGTGGGTGACACTCCCACAGCTAGGTGTTTGTTCTGCCCTCTGAGTCTGCCTTCTCACCGTAAACAATAGGACATGGAGCGAGAAAGACCGAGTACACCCAAGCCCTTCCAGAGAGGGGGCGTGGTCAGACACAGCTCATTTACATATTTAAAGGTACAGACACAGAAACAGCCTGTTCTGAGCAGGGCTGAAATAGAGGGGTTTATAGACATGATCAAATACAGGATCAGAGTGGATTTAGAACAAGAAACTTCACAGACATGTTTTGAGGAGCTTTGAGACTTATTTAAACTGAAGAAGAGGAGGAGGATATGTGACCTTTAATGTGAAGATTGATTTTTATCAGACCCATCAGGATGTTCTCCCACTGAGATTTTTAACGTCATCCATGAAATGTCAAAGTAAGAAGAAGAAAAGGAGAAACCCACTTCCTGTTTATGTCATTATATTTCTGAATGTGAAGTGACCTCTTGGCCTGGAGGAGCGCCACCGAGTGTTCGTCTGAATGTGAACGCTTTACCTGTGAGGTCGGTGCAGACTGTGATCTCGCTCAGTGTTCAATACGCAGCGTTTCACCGCGGGGTGCCAGTTGGTACAAAGCTCTCCTGCTGAGGTGTCTTTATCTGTCTGAGATGTAACCACGGATCAGCTGATCTCACTGTTGATGAAGGACGATGTTCAGGGGGAGAAGTGATGTGTGATTGACTGACTTGTATTTGCACTGAAACACTGATTTGAGTAAAATCAAAGTGAACGAGCCGACTGTGTCCCCACTTCTTTCTTAAAAGTATGGATGTCTTGTGTTTTTACTTTTTGAAACCACCTGTTTTAAAATGATACACTTTAATGTTAATGATGGACGCTCTACCTTCTACGTTGGAAACATTTTAGTACTGACACATTGCGGCTGCTGTTAACATCCTCTTCTGGATCGCCATCAAACTTCAGTGTCAGAATATCGATTTCCCAGAGACATTAAATAAAACATCTGCTCCATAAAACAGATTTTCAAACTTCGATGCTGCTCTGTTTGCTTTCCAGGAAACTGAAGTCTCGATGTCTGAAGCAGGTGATCATTTCATTTTGATGTAAAGTGTCTCTTCTCGTTGTTTTGAACATCTCCAGGTGATTAAAGGAAGATAAATAAAGCAGAAATCACGTTTATCCTCTGTAAATATCTCTCAGTAATGACTGTGTGTAGCCCCTCCCCTATCGGATAAAAAGCACAAGCAGCCTCCGGCCTAAACCGTTCAACCACAGAAGAGGAGGAGGATCCAAGATGGCTGACTCCAGTCAGAAGCATCAGACCGAAGGCCTTCCTCCAGCTTGTCCTTAACCTAAAACCGTGTGCTCTCATGCTTTAAAAGCTTTAGACGAACAGAGAATTAAAACAGGAGTCGATACTTTCTTACCTCATAACTTGACATTTGCATTTGGTAGAACAATTTTTAATGCCGTTTATGCTCGACTGTCTGAATGTGATCCAAACGTATGCAAAATATAAATCATTAAAGGAGCAGTATGTAAGTCTGACCCCTAGTGTTTAAAATGGGTACTGCACTCTAAATTCTAAACATCATAGAGAGCTGTCCCCCCCCTCCTCCTCTCTAGAGTGGATGCTCACTCAGGTCCCCATGTGGTGGACTCTGA